TGAGGGGTGGGCTGGGAGAGGCCCACCAGGCCACATGCAGAGGGGTGGGGCAGCAAGCTGTGCCTGTGTGTCAAGGGCAAGGAGACCAGCCAGCCTCAGTCTACAGCATCTGACCCTCCTGAAGATGACTTCAAATCCCTAAGTATTGGGTTAACTGTATGAAATTGTCATTTTTATAGGTCAAAAATGGTGAAATATCAGCAATTTCACATGGTTCAATCAAATACTTCTCTGGATGATACCCCTTAACCCTGTCCCCCTCTAAATTAGTTTCTTTCCAGAAAAAAAAAATGCAATGGCATTGGGAAGCATAAGGGAACAAGTATCAGCTGCAATAGGGTGATGATGGGGTGGTTATGGGTGATACTCAAGTACATGCAGAGGCCACATGGAAGAACGTCATGAACCACAGTAAGACATTTAGGCTTTATCCTTAGGACATCTGGCAGCCTTGTGCGATGACCAGATGGATATTTTAAGATGCTTACTCAAAACAACCTAGAGAAGGTGGTAAGAGGGCAACAGTGGAACAGCCAAGCAGGAAAAGTTGCTACTAGGATCAGAAGAGGGGCCCACACTGTCAGTGTGATAAAGGTAGGCAGGCTTGTGAGATACTAAAGAGGCAAGACTTACAAGACTCCGGAACTGAGTGAGAAAGGAAGTGGGGAAGCCAGCATGAGCTCATGGTGCCTGCCCACCCAGGCAGCCAGGTGGGTGGTGGGCCATGCTTTGGGCTGGATGAAAAGGGGGAGGAGCTGATATGGAGGGAGAGAGGATGAGTTCCAGGCATGACTGTCGTAATTATGTATATAGGTTTTCATCTACAGTTCCTGACTCGTAATTCCCACACCCACTGTTATTTCTCCCCTAGGCAGGTCATAAAAACTAAAAATACACCCTAATCTCCCCCCGCCTTTCTGTCTTGGAGCTGGCCATAAAGAAATTCTCAGCTTTTATACCAGTACCCTGCTGTTTTTGTTACTGTAGCCTTATAGTATAGTTAGAAGTTGGGTAACATGATGCCTCTAGCTTTGTTCTTTTTGCTCAGGATTGCTTTGGATATTCAGGCTCTTTTATGGTTGCATCAGCCTTGGGAAAGAATTTATGCCCACATCCTCAAAAACAATTGCAACAAAAACAAAAATTGACAAGTGGGACCTAATCAAACTAAAGAGTTTCTGCACAGAAAAATAAACTATCAACAGAGTAAACAGACAACCTACAGAATGGGAGAAAACGTTCCCAAACTATGCATCTAACAAAGGTCTAATATCCAGAATCTATAAGGAACTTAAACAATTTGACAAAGTAAAAACAAACAACTCTATTAAAAATTGGGCAAATATATGAACAGGTACTTCTCAAAAGAAGACATACAAGCAGTCAACAAAAATACAAAAAAAGTTTAACATCATTAATCATCAGAGAAATGTAAATCAAAACCATAATGAGATACCATCTCACATTAGTCAGAATGGCTATTACTAAAAAGCCAAAAAACAACAGATGCTGGAGAGGTTGTGAAGAAAAGGGAACACTTATACACTGTTGGTGGTAATGTAAATTAGTTCAGTCACTGTAGAAGCAGTTTGCAGATTTCTCAAAGAACTTAAAACAGAACTACCATTCAACACAGCAATCCCATCACTGGGTATATATCCAAAAGAGAATGAACCCTTCTACCAAAAAGACACATGCACTCGCATGTTCATCACAGCACTATTCACAATAGCAAAGACATGGAATCAACCTAGATGTCCATCAATGGTAAACTGGATAAAGAAAACATGGTACATTTATACCACGGAGTACTATGCAGTCATAAAAATACTAAAATCATGTACTTTGCAGCAACATGGATGCAGCTGGAGGCCATTATTCTAAGCAAAGTAACGCAGGAACGAAAAACCAAATACTACATGTTCTCATTTGTAAGTGGGAGCTAAACACTGGGTACTCATGGATATAAAGATGGGAACAATAGATACTGGAGACTGACAGAGGAGGAAAGGAAGCAAGGGTTGAAAACTAGTTCCAGGGGTACTATGCTCACTACTTGAGTGACAGGATCAATCATACCCCAAACCTCCACATCACACGATACATCCATATAACAAACCTATACATGTTGCCCCTGAATCTAAAATAAAAGTTGAACTTACAAAAAAGCAAGAAGGAAAGAAATTCTCTGACCTACCCTGTCTGACTGCAGGTCACAGACCCTCATTTCAGGAGTCCTGTCCCATACCTGAAGGAAGAAATGCTGCACAGAGAAGCTGAGGAATCTGAGCAGACAGGTCCTGTTGGGTTTTCCCACTCAGTCTATTTGTGGAAGATCACACTTTCTGTCCAATCACATTGCTACATGGTTGTCCACACTTCAATCATGCCTACCCAGTGATGTCTCCATAAAAGGCCCAAGAGGAGGGGGTACAGAGAGCTTCCAAATAGCTGAATATGTTCCTTGAAGATGGTGTGCCCAAGGAGGGCATGAAAGCTCGGTGCCCCTTCCCCACAGCTCACCCTATGCATCTCTTCATCTGTATCCTATGTAATCTCCTTTATAATAAACCAGTAAATATAAGTGTTTCTCTGAATTTCAAGAACCAGTCTAACAAATTAATCAAACCCAAGGAGGGGGTCACGGGAATCCCAATTTCTAGCTGGTTGGTCAGAAGCCCAGGCAAAACAACCTGGATCTGCCATTGGCATTGTAAGTGGGGCAGTCTTGTGGGACTGAGCCCTCAACCTGTGGCATCTGACGCTGTCTCCAAGTAGCTGGTGTCGGCATTGAGTCAGAGGACACCCAGCTGGTATCTGTGGCAGAACTGATTGCTTACTTTTTGGTGGGGAGAAACCCTCACATATTTCATCACAGAAGCCTTCTGTGTTGATTATTGCATTGTGTGATAAAAGAGGAAAAGCAGTTTGTGTTTTTTCACTCAGAAGTGTTCGATCGGTTCTAACAATAAAAAGAAGGAGGTAGTCAGGCACAGTGGCGCACAGCTGTCATCCCAGCACTTTGGGAGGCCAAGGTGGGTGGATCACCTGAGGTCAGGAGTTTGCGACCAGCCTGACTAACATGGTGAAACCCTATATCCACTAAATTTAAAAAAAAAAAAAAAGAGCCAGGCAATGGTGGTGCTGCCTGTAATCCAAGCCCCTTGGGAGGCTGAGACAGGAGAATCGCTAGTACCTGGGAGGTAGAGGTTGCAGTGAGCCGAGATAGCGCCATTGCACTCCAGCCTGGGCAATGAGTGAAACCCTGTCAGAAGAAAGGAAAGGAAAGGAGAGGAGAGGAGGAGAGGAGGAGAGGAGGAGAGGAGGAGGGGAGGAGGGGAGAAGGGGAGGAAGGAAGGAAGGAAGGAAGGAAGGAAGGAAGGAAGGAAGGAAAGAAGGAAGGGAGGGAGGGAGGGAGGGAGGGAGGGAGGGAGGGAGGGAGGGAGGGAGGGAGGAGGGAGAAGAGGAAGGAGGGAGGAAGGAAGGAAGGGGGAAACTATCGTGCCTACTGCCAACCATGTGAATGCTTTACATACGGTATTTAAATTAACACACAGGAGAAGGGGGCAGAGGAGAGAGGCACCAGGGAGGGAGGGAGGGAGGGAGGGAGGGAGAGAGGGAAGGAGGGAGGAAGGAAGGAAGGGGAAACTAATGCGTGCCTACTGCCAACCATGTGAATGCTTTACATACGGTATTTAAATTAACACACCAGCTGGGGAGGTGGGTACCCTTCGTGCAGTTATATAGCTAAAACAAAACAAAACAGACAAATAAACAAACAAAAAAACTGAAGGTGAGCACTTACCTGAGGTTAGACAGTTTATATTTGGGAGAGCTGCAGTTTAAATGGGCATCTCTTTATCAATACCCATGTGCTTATGGCTACAACTTGCTGCCCAATAACCTAATGTATGGTGTGTGCTGTGCTGATGGCTAAAACAATGGCAGATGCAGTTGCGATCAAGAAAGATGTGCCAGAAATCTTTCCCGAACACATGGGAGAGGAGGAAGGCCAGACTCAGAGCTGAGCACCTGACCCAGGTACAAGCTCTCCTCATCCTGCTCACCTCTGCTAATCACCTGTGTCGTAGATTCTCCCCAAGTCTAGGAGCATGGGAAGCAGGGAAAGATCAATCAGGGAGTTATAGGACTTCTTTCCAAGGATGAGAATAACTCCTGTAATGCCTTGCTTACCCTGAAGAGTAGGACTCTGCAAGGCAGGCCCTCTCAACATCTCTTAAGGGAAAAGCAGCATTTTAGCTCACGACAGCGTCCTAGCAGACAAAGGTTTAAGGCATAGCCTAGCTAAAGAGTTACTTAACAAATTCCAAAATAGTAGCAAAATAGTCTCCATAAAACTAAATGACTTCCAGGGAAGAAAGCGCATATTCCACTCCAGTACTTGTTGCCTTAATTAGGAACAGATTCTGATGACTGGGATTTATTTTCCTAAGCACACATCCACAAAAGCCAGAAACATCTTGTCATGCTGCAGCATCCCTGACATTTCTCAAAGACGAATTCCTAATTGGGTTTAAAAAAAAAACAACCAGAAATTTTCATGCTGATTTTGATTCAGGATTCAAAACAGAACCTAAGACATGCATTTCTATATTATTCCAAACCATGTATAAACTGCCTTAAAATCCTTAAGACTCCCTTCAAACACTAAAGTTTAAAAAAGGGAAAAACAGACTAAGAAATGAATTCTGAATTTAATGTAGCAAAGAAGATTCTTCTCTTTCTTGTGGAACATGAAAACGATCCTGTGATCTCTCCAAGACACTTTTAAACACCTTAATCTACTTACTTTTTTAAAGACAAGACGAGAGCTGGCACCTGCTCTTTCACTTATGGGGTTCAAAAGGCTTTTTTGTGTCTTTCTTTGTCAATTTATTAGAGAAATTGGCCAGCCTTTTTCATTGATATAACTAAATTTTGTTATAATAAAGAATCTAGATGTATCACGGAGTCTGAAATACAGAAATTATTATCCTTACCTGCACAGTTTATCCTTAAGTGTTTCCATGTACTTCATAGTATTTTCCTTCACACTTGTTTCTGGGGAAGAAAAGGAAATCCAAAGTGAATGCAACTGCAGTCACAATCGAACAAAAACCATTCAACTAAAAGCTCAAAGCCAAAGGACTGAGGTCAAGCCACTAGTAATCGTAACATTCTATATTTGGAAAACATTCAAATCCATTGGAGTGGCTGCCTGAAGTCATGAGTTGGGGAGGATTCTGGGCCTCTGAGCATCTCTGCAGGAGAAAGTCAGAGGCTGGAGCAACAGCGCTGAGCCAGCCTCATGTAGTCTTTCAAAGGCAGCTCACTGATAGTCTATCACTGGACGACGTGTGCTCTGTCTCCTACCTTTCCTGACTGATAGCCATGGGCTCGGTTGTCCAATACAGGGAAAGAGAACCTGACAGTGTAATGACTCCCATCCTACAGATGAACCAGAAAAGCCTCACTACAGGTAGAGGAGGATTGTGGACCCTTTCACTGAGAAGCAAACAAAAACATGGGATTCTGCCAGTAACTAGAAATCAATTGCTCAACCTCCAATGAGTGATGAGATCGGCCACTCTTCGAAATAAACTCAGTGCTTCCTAATTACCAAATGTTGAAGGAATGAATGATTGCTATGGTTCGACAGATCGAAGAGGCACTTTATGGATAAAAGAGATTTGATATACTTTGAACAAGTTCTCCCCTTTTGCTCATCTGAGGAATGAAGGTGCCTTCCTCTCAAGGTGATAACTAACAGACATGCACACCAAGTGTCTGGAATAACACCTGCAACCAAGGGGTTTCTAGCAAATGGTGGCTGGAATGATCAATGATGCTGCCATGTCTATTATTAGTATTATTATTGTTATCGTGGGTTTTATCATTGTTTTTATTCCAACCTTTATTCTGAAGGGTTATTTATGCTGAAGGGCTCATGTACTCTAAAGTTGGGGAATGTGGAAACACAGAAGCCAGGCTGCCCAGATTCATGCTACTAGAGTGTCTGGGGATCCTTGGACTTCCATTTCAGTCAACATGTATGTGTAAGGTGAGGGACAGTGGAACTGGAAAAAGTACCCTGACATTCCTCATAAAGAAACTAAATATTTAGATGGAAATTAAAACAATTACACACATTCTGGTTCATTAGTCCATAAAAGGTAAAAAGAGATATTTACACAATGAAAACAACTGTTTAAGTTGCTATCTTTTCTTACTGACTTATGCTTGTCTAACACACAAACTTAGTTGTGCTAGCTGGAGCAATTATTGCAAGTTCCAAATGCCCCAACCAGAAACGTGTCTCTGTTTCACATGCCATACATATTTATGTGCCACACACTGTTCTAGGCATGTGGGATAGCTCACTGGACAGAAGAGGTAGATTCCTGCTTCTGTAGTGCTTCCATTCTGGCAGCGAGGGATGCTAAAGAATAAACATAAAAATTCCATAGAACATTAGAAGGTGATAATGACAATAAGGATTTAAGGGGGAAAAAAAGACAGCAAGCAAAACAGGCTGTAGAGTGGTCAGGGAAGACATCACTGGGGAAATGACACTGCCTAAAAGTTTGCAGAGGGAGGGAAGAGGGAGTTGACAGGCATCCTGGGAAGAGTCGAAGTCATCCTGGGAAGGGGGAGTCGACAGGCATCCTGCGAATGGAGTAGGCGGTCTGAAGGCCCCAGGGCAGCAGCACAACTGTGTGCTCCAGCGAGTGTGGCCAGAGCCAAATGTTCCATGGGGAGAAAAGATGAAGGCAGAGAAACAACCCAGGTCCAATCACGCAGGCCACTGTGGTAAACTATAGTCTCAAAATGGCCACAGCAATATTTCTGGTACCACATACTCTTCCAGAACCTTGCCGCTCCCTATCAAGAGGTAAAGTATATTTCCCTCTTCCTGAATGTGGTCAGGCTGAGACTGCTCCAACCCACTGAGTATGATGGAAGGTATTCTGTAACTCTTCTGAGGCTAAAGTCCAGTTTCTGCCTGGCTTTCTGTCCTGGGAACCCAGCCACCATGTTGTGAGGAAGCCCAAGCCACATGGAGAGGCCCTGTGTAAGTGTTTCAGCTGAAAACCTGGGTGATGGTCTTAGACTACATCCAGCACCAATCTCCAGATATCTGAGTGAATGAGCTTTCAGGTGGTTAGTGCCTTTGAGTCTGAGGGATCCAGACACCACAGGATGGAGACAAGTTCCCCCACTGTAAGCTGTATGAATTCCTGACTCACAGAATTTTGCATGTAATAAATGGTGATGTTAAGTCATTAAGTTTAGGGATGTTTTGTTGCACAGCTGTAGTAACTAGAAGGCTACTGTCAGGATTTTGAGTGTTCTGAGTGGAATGGAAAAACACTGTAGAATAAAAAAATGAGATTGACCTACAGCTACTATGTTGAGAATATACCATAGGGGAGGATGGGGTGGAAGCAGAAAGACATGGACGAGGTTAGTGCAATCATCCAGGAAAAGATGATCAGGATGTGGAGGAGGAAAAGTAGAATATTTTTCTCACCCATCACCAGGGTCATGGCTGACACCCGTATAACAAAAGACAGGTTAACAAGAGAAAGGCATGACAAATTTATGTAACCAAAGTTTTATGTGATATAGGAGCCTTCAGAGATGAAGACCCCAAGACCCAGAGAAAACTGTCTATTTTTGTGCTTAGGTTCAATGAAGCATATGAAAAATGGACAGCTGTGTAGAAACCTGATTGGACAAAAAGCATATGATCTAACGGTGATAAACTGGAGCTCAGCATAGCCTGTTTGTTCAGAATCTTCTTGGCCTCTGTGTAGCATTCCTTCCCTCCAGATGAGGGGGCAGGGCAACTGTCACATAGGGTCTTATGCCCACTTTTCAGGGAAGGTAACCAACAGAATCCTTTAAGATCAGCTCTCACACAGAAAGACAGCGGATGGTCAGAGTGACCTTTCTGCTTCTGCTGTTTTCTCAGTGTCCAAGGTGCTGTACTTTGTAGTATCATGTTCTATGTCCCAAAAGGGACTTAAACTAGTGCATTAGCAGGAGTTAGTGATAAGTGGGTAGATTTTAGATATATTTTAAAGGTAGAGACAATAGCTTTCCTAGTGGGTCAAATGTCAGGTGTGAGAAAAAGAAAAGTCAGCTGGGCGCGGCAGCTTACGCCTGTAATTCCAGCACTTTGGGAGGCCGAGGCAAGTGGATCACCTGAGGTCAGGAGTTCAAGACCAGCCTGGCCAACATGGTGAAACCCCATCTCTACTAAAAATACAAAAATTATCTGGGTGTGGTGGTGGGCACCTGTAATCCCAGCTACTCAAGAGGCTGAGACAGGAGAATCGTTTAACCTGGGAGGCGGAGGTTGCAGTGAGCCGAGATCGCACCACTGCACTCCAGCCTGGGCAACAAAGAGCAAAATTCTGTTTCAAAAAAAAAAAAGTCAAGAATGACTACAGATTTTTACCCTAAGCCACCAGAAAAAAACAGAAATTGCCATCAACTGAGATGGGAAGAATGAGAAGTGAAACTGGTTGGGGAGACAAGAATTTAGCTTTGGATTTGTTAAATTTGAGAAGTTTTTAGACATTCAGTGGAGATGTCAAGTGTGAGGTTGGTTATCTGAGTCTGGAGTTTGGGAAAGTTCTGGAACAGAGACATTTGGGATTGGCATTTGAAGGAATGAGACTGGACAATATCACTGAGAAAGTGGGAGTAACTTAAGAAGCCCTTGCTGATCATAGGCAATGCACCATTTATATTGTGATAGCATCTTCCATCCAATGGACAAAAATGGACAGCATCCCCCGAGGAAAAGAAAGCCATATTCTTATGTTTAAAAATAGTCTAGATGTCTATGAAGCTAATGACTTTGTTAAGAAACTGAATGCTAAGTATTTGCCTCATCTCAGTGTCTGAAGCACCAGTTGGTGATACGCTGGACCTGCACGAGAACTTCCAGGCAAAGCCATGGGCTTTTCTACTTGCCTGGAGGCTGCCATCTAAGGAGAATGCTATGTTGAACTATTACTTTCATTGGACCCAACCTATGTCCCAGCCAGACAGCCTAAAAGTAGCTTGCACATATTCACTAAGTTGACTCACAACCTTCAAGATAGGCCAAGACTGTAGACAGGGAGTTTAGATTTTAAACTTCCTAAAAAATACACCCACAGACACAGTGACTGAGAATAGAAGTCACCTTTTCCTCTCTTCTTACTTCCCTCCTCTTCCTTTCTTCCCTACCATTTTAGGCCCGATAGAGCAGGGATCTGTGAGAATGGTGATAGTAATAAGGCAAGGTTCCAAGAAGCAAAGAGGGCACTCAAGGAAATGCCGAATACAAAAGGAAATGCTATGAAACAAACAAGACCAGAGGACTGCAGGCCTCCTGATCAGGAAGAAGCAGGAACACATTAACTGCTTCTGTTTATTAAGGGAATCTGATATCCAGATTCAGGCCATGATATCAGAGTGAAATTCATACAATTAGTTTGATGAATCCAATTAAACAAAAACTTGGATTAACGGATTGATAATTAAATGCCATAAATCAGTAAACACAGTAGAGTGCATGAAACAAACACACATCACGCTACAGGAGTTCAATCTGGGTCCTCCTTCACGCAAGACCCTATACTTGGCACTAATTAAATATAAAAAGGACATAGCTTCCAGAAACACAGAGATAGTTGTGGGGCCAGCCTCTTTAACACTGATTTCTCACTGGAGTGCACAGCAACATTTTCCATAAATATTCATCATAACCAATAATCCAAAAATATCCCTATGAGTCTGATGGGAAAAAAAAAAAAATAACCAACCTACCCAGCAACAGCTTTTTCAATGTAAACACGGAAGTTGGAAGGTAGAAGATGTCAACACGAAAGTAGAAGAATGTTAAGTGGGAGGAAGTCCAACTAGGTTTCAATGCGTTGTATCCCTTGCATAATAAAGGGACACCAGTATTTGACATGAAAATAGCATGGGAAATGAGTAACACCCAGGCAGACTTGCTATCAGATTGAATGGACCAGTGACTTGAAGAAACTCCAGCCCCACCA